CAGAGACTTTTAAGAAATTTCAACAAAATTGAGCCGTCCTCTTCATGCACATATAGTGATACTGATATAGTTCATGGACATTCTTCCCAAATGCTGATACCACCTTAGTTGACAGACTTAGCTTTCAATGCTATTATAAAATTTACTTTCTTGCAACTCTGCTGGTATTTAGTGGGGATGATCTTGCCTGCTAGATAGGTGATACCATCAGATTTATTTCAATGGAATCTGATTTAACCCTTGCAACAACTTCCTTAGATGATGTGAATTGTGTGAATTACGGTCATCACCATCATCACCATGTCTAAAATCATTTGCAAATAAATATCTTAGCCTCAAAGTAACTTACCTGAAGTCCCATAGCAGGAAAGGTGTGAAGTTCATATCCGAATGCAAGTTTTGTCTTCAGAAGCAGTGTTTTGACCCTGGTGCCTGCTGCTGCCACAGCACCAATGTGCTGTTCCCATCATATCCCCACTGAGCAGATGACCCAGTGCCTTCCCCCCTCAAACCTTCTCTCATCTCTCAAACTTTTGCCCTCTCAAGTAGCAATATCAAAATACTGGCTCATCCACTCTTTCTAGATTTCACTTTAGCTCTTAATTAGCTCATTTAGAGCTCGATCTGGCTCTGGATACATCTTTGTACCCCTGCACTGTCCTTTACAGTGGCCACTATGTGCTGCCAATACGACTAGTTTGAATTAAAATGCTCCATCAGTATAGAATGTGCATTGATTTCAAAGCCTTGGGGTGAAGAAAGATTTTGAAATAAATCAATAATCATTTCATATCGATTATGTTGAAATATTTGGGATTTATGAGGTTAGGTAAAATGTATTCTTGAGATCAATTTCACCTGCTCCTTTTTTTCCCTTCCTTACTGTTGCTACAAGAAAATGTTTCATTGCATATATAACTGACATTGCCTGTCCACCAGCCCTTTTTGCCCCCTCCGTCACTCCAGATTGCTCTCCCTTTCTCTGGCCCCTTCTTTCTCTAGACCTGCACTGTCCAGTAAATACAACAGCCATAAGCCATATGCAGATATTTAAATGTAAATTGATGAAAATTAAAGCATAAAACTCAGTTCCTCAGTCGCCTCGGCCACTGTGGTTAGTGGCTACCAAACCACACAACACAGGTCTAGGTCATTTTCATCACTGCAGGAATTTCTATCAGAGAGGTGATACGGCTTGGGCATATTATGGCAAAAACCACAGAGGCGGGGCATGTGTGCCCACAGCTGGGGAAAAGTTCCCATCACGCCTAACTTTGCTGCCCATTATCCTTCCATCTCCCAGGTCCTACCCACTCCCACCTTTGCTAGACTTGTTTAACACACCTTATCTCTTCCCTCCTGCAAGGGCTGTGGTGTGCTTATCTCCCTCTGAACACTCTCCCTTCCACCCTTCTGTACGTGCCTGCTATCTGACGCTGTGCTTTGTACGAAATAGGTACTCAGTAAATATCTGTTCGCCAGTTGGAGTGGCAATTCCTGGCAAGTGATTGGAAATATGCCTGTGGCTGAAGCTATAATGCCTGGGAGCAGGGTGATATGTGGGAGAGAGAAAGAGAGAGAGAGAGAGAGAGAGAGAGAGAGTAGGTAAAAGCCAGGTTCCCAAGAAAGAAGGAAGAGGAATTGGTAGAGACAGAAGCAAGGAAATAAGAGGAACAGCGTTGATCCTGGATCTCAAAGATATCGAAAACCCTTGTGGCTCCCCACAAGCCCCTTACAGCAGCGACAGAGTTATCACAGGGAACCCAGAGGCTTAAGCAACAGCTTTAGAAGTGCAAAAGAATCCCAAAATATTATTGCGTGATGAATAAGCATAAGTGAGATGTTGAGATGGCATGGAAATTAAGGGTCTGGTAAGGAGAAAAATGAAAGGCGTGCGCTCCCTGGCCCAGCTGGTCTAAGTGAGGTTTTATGAGTACCACGTGGGTCCAGCGCCCTTGTTGAGTTAGCAGCAGACTCACACATTAGTTTTAAGGCTCCCTCTCGAATAGGAACATCATAACGCTTTTTAATTGGGGCTGATAAAAACGTAGCATTACTTGTAGGTTCCTGAGAGAAGTGAGTTGTGAAATTGGGTTTTCATTAAACCTAATGATGGAAAATTAAGTATAGTGCGTCTGGTGAAATGGGGTGTGATAAAAGGCATCACTTCTGCATTATCGGAGGTTAATAAGGGAATAGGTGAGGTACGATACATTGGAAAAAGGAGTCCAACTAGTTGAATTAATAAACCTTGAAAATCCCTTGGTTCCGAGTCTTCATAGTATCATTAGCATCAGCAATGACATTATTACAAATGTTCCAACCATACGAGTTGTTCAATTTCAGACGCATTTGTTTTCTACTCCAGTGTTGGTTTTGCTGACACCAAGTTTACAGTCTGTCTAGCAATGTGTTTAGGGGAAATATCCATATTGGCAGCTATTTGGTTTTGGAAACATGTGGCAGCTCATAAAAGTGGCTGGGTGCCGGTTCTCAGAAGCCTGTCTTTCCCAGGCAGCTGGTCCCCCAAGAAGCCCATGACCCTCATCCTTCAGGAGACCGTGGGTTTCTGAAGACACCTGTCCCCGTATGTGGTGGGGAGTCAGATGGGGACACACCTGGGCTGCAGGCATTGCTTCTGGCTCATCCTCTCCACCCCCCAAAACCATCACAGGGGCCCTGTTCGCAGAGGGGTGCCTCATACCCAGGCAGCTTTGGCACCCACAACAAATAGTGGGAATCATTAAAGAAAGGGGCTCTTCTTACCACCTCTGACAGCTTTGTCCCCTTCATGTTTCCACCCACCACCTTCACTCTTATCAGTTGCGTTGTACTTGCGGAAAAGCGCTGTCTTCTCCAGCTTCTGTTCTCGTGCTTTGGACGGTGCCTCTTGTCTGTGTCCCCGCTAGACCGTGGAGCCTTGAGGGTGGATTCTGGATGACTCTGGGCACTTGTAAGGAACATGGGGTACTCAGGCTTTCTCACCTCCCCACTGCTAGCCTCTACGGCAGCCACCTGTGGCCTTGCTTTCCTTCTGGGGCTCATTACCCACATGAGTTAACATAATTACAGACGGCACTTGTGAGCACGAGCACATGGGTGCCCGCACCGATGATTGAGGACACCCAGGCCAAGGGGCATGAGCATGGGGCACAGGCACCTATAAATGCAGACACCGGGCAGAGAAGCCGGGAGAGCACAGGGCAGGCACCTATATAAATATGGACACCCGTGCTGAGAAGGGAGCGATAGAGGAGAGAAGCCAGAGAGAGAGAAAGCAGAGATGGGGGGCAGGGTGGGTCTGGAAGCCTCGATGGCCCCCCGACCCTCTGCCCACTGTTCCGCTTCTGTGTCTGGTACCCTGATTTGGCATTAAAGACATGTTAGAGATACCAAAGTCTCCAAAATTTTCTTTCCAACTGCTGGAATCAACAATGAACCTACCCGGCCTGGGAGGTGGCACAGCAGCACTCCAGTGCTGACCAGAGTCCCTGCACAGACTCAGTGCTCAGTAACTCCAGCCCCTGATCACAAGGGTGTGGAGAAGAGAAGCAGCCCCATGTTTGCCAAGTGTCTGTTTCAGCAGAGCCAGTGACAACACGTTACCTGTAACCTGAAATCTTGAGAGAAAAAATAAGCAATATTTTTCATTTAAGTGCAGTCAGGAAGGTGGTGCTGACATCTGGCCCAGGCCTACCTGCCTTGTGCATAAACCTGCATGCTCTAGATCCTTCTGTCAGCGAGCCCTTCCTACTAGGGACAGTTTTTCTCATGTGGTCACATAGGAATTCCCCTTCACACACACAGTCAGTGTCTGATGGATTGTTGTGACATGGCAGGCAAACAAGCGGCAGGAAACATGGGTTGTGTAAGACAAGCTGCGGAAGAGCAGGAATATGTGCTACACGTCCCGGATGAGCTTGGCATTCACCCAGTGGGGCCTCGGGGGCACCTTCCAGTGCCAGAGGATGTCTGGGAGAGACAGACTGGATCTGCCAACCCTCATCTCATACTTGCTGCAATGCGAGGGTCCAGGAGGAAACTGGCCATGTTTTTGGGAGCAGATGGGGCGACCAAGACCAGAGAGTTCTGTCCCTGAAAGACTGACAGTGTATGTCAGGGAGGTGATAGGGCAAGAAATGGATTTAGGGGTCCAAGGATCAGCCTAAGCATATGCCAGTTTCTGGAGTGGCCAAACTCACAGAAGACAGTTAAGGCAACTTGGCAGATGCTAATAGTCTTACAGAGGGGAGTACAAGTCTTACATGAGGGAGAGGTTTCATGGAGATGAGACACGGGACCCAGGCCTGGAAGAAGTAGCAGGCAGGACTGAAGGGAGCTGTTGCACCTTCCCTCCCTGCACGGTGCATGGAGCGACACTCCTAGATGGAGGGTGCTAATGCTGGGGAGCTGGGCAGCAGGCTGGAGGCTGTCACTGATGCAGAGCCCATCGCAGGAGTGAGCAGCTAGAAGGGTCCCTGCTGTTTGCTGGGGGTGCAAGGCTGGGGTCCCAGTGTATACCCCAAAAGAAACAAACGAGAAGAGAACTAGGTGCACAAATGGGCCAGAAATAGACATGTGCCTCCAATCCCCAGGCAGGCGCCAGGGAGCTTGTCTGGAGATCGCACTTGCTAAACCAGAAGGTGCTCTGCTCAGCAGCCCATCAGGCTTCTTCTCCTCTGGGATAGCCCGGGCAGAGCTGACCCAGACAGGGATGACACCCATCCTGCGACTCTGCCTTTACTCCATCGGTATGACCCCTTGAAAAAGAAATGACCTGAGGGTCATTGCAGTCATGGCTGTGTTTGTTGTTTTAATTTCTAAATCTACCACCACTTCCTTGCCAGGGAAGCAGGGCGAGTCTTTTTTCTGTGGTCTTCTCACCAGATGCGTCCTGAGTTGACTTCCTCCTCCCTCCTCAGGTCAAGCTTGGAACAGTGTAGGGGACAGGGGACAAAACTCCCGCCGGTGATAGTCTTTTCTGCTCCTTCTCTCTGAAGCAGATGGCAGCCGTGGGGAGCTTTCCCAGCCCACCCTCACCATCCAGACGCACCCCTACCGGTCCTGCGACCCCGTGGAGATGAGCTACCCCCGGGACCAGTTCCAGCCCGCCATCCGGGTGGCCGACCTGCTGCAGCACATCACCCAGATGAAGAGAGGCCAGGGCTACGGGTTCAAGGAGGAATATGAGGTAAGAGATAAACCCATGGACAAATGTCCTGATGGGTTCAGAGGCCGCGTGGGTGCCAAATCCTTGCTTCTCAAAGCGTGGGCCCGGACTGGAAGCTTCTGCATCACCAGCTCAGGCTTACTGAATCTGTTTGAACCCACATCTTCCTTCAGTGGGAAGATAGAAAGGTTTGCGCCCCTCCACACACATTGTTGAAAGCCAGCAAGTCTCCCTGGGGAACCCTGGGACACTTGCTTACTCCTGGTCACCTCTTAGCTCATGACCATGCTTCATTTGTGTTCTCCAGCCCCCAAGTCACTATCTGGCCTCCAGCACCAGGTGTTCTCTGTCTGCCTTCTCTGCAACTCCACATCGGCCATCCCTTTCCATCCTCCCAAAGCACCTCTAACACAGGGTATGTGAGTAGTGATGGTTCCTGAGCTCCGAGGGGACAGGCTGGCAGCCAAGGACCAGAGGTGCCTGAGCACAACCCACCCCCCCTGCAGGTTCTGGCCCTGTCAGGTCTCTCTCTCCTTTTCTCCCCAAAGTTCTTTTTAGCATCCTCAAAAATTCCCTTTTCTTCTTCCCAGCAGCCAGGAAAAGAACTCCCACACTCCCCTTACTTTATTATGCAGCACAATTTAACTTTCTTTGTCTCACTCCTTTTGTTTCAGAGCTTAGGCCTCACCTTTTACAAACAAAAAGTGAAATAAAATAAAAGGAAAAACTCATTAAGATATTTTCCTGAACCCAAGAGCATCTCACTCCCCCAGAGGAACCAGGCAGCCCTCCTCAGGCAGGTGGAACGCAGCTGCAGCCACTGTGAAAATAGGCATTTTCTTTCTCCACTTTTCCTTTCCTCTCCCCCTCGCATTCTTCCTTCCCAAAATATCTTTCCAGCATCTACTCTGTGCCAGGCTGCAAGTTATATGCACTATTTTTTTGTGGGTTTTCCCCCCACAGACAGCATGTGCCCCAAATACTCTGGGCTGGGCTTCTCTGTGTGCAGTGAAAACACATTGACTCAGACACTACACATTTGGAATTCTTGATCATGCAGACTAAGTTTATCTCTCAGACGATATTCTGAAAAAGAGCTTTCAAAGCAATATTTCAGAAGCCGGTGAGGTCATGAAATCATGCTCAATTGGAGCTGGGATCCAGACAACTGGGTTCCAGTACAACAAACTGTGTGATCTCCGTAGATCATTTTGCTACCTGAATTTTAAAATTATTAGTTGAAAGAAGTGTTTGGATAAGGTGATTTCTAAGGGACTGTCTGGCCCTAAAACTTTATGAGAGCATAAAGCATGGTGGCCAGGGGCACGTTTGGCACTTTTACGAGAACAAAAGCATTTCTGTCAATGACTATAAGTAATTACCAACTCAGAGAACCGGCAGTTTATTTCAAATATGGTCTAAATGCAATGGCATTCTTCATATGTCCAATCTACCACTTTGAGAAAGATATGGAGATAAGAGCTGAGCTGTGATGGAGTCGAGTCTCCTCCTCCCATCCCTAGACCTTATTTCATAGGGGGTTGGTGGTATGGTCCCACCCCTTAAAGTGGGTGCATTATGCCTGCTTATGCACACCAATAAATCTATATGATGAATGAATGTCAGGAGAGAGTACATTGTTGGTGAAAGCATGTTCAACATCATGATGGTTTAATAAGTCGCCAGTCATAGTAGTTCATTGGTTTTAATATTTCAAATAGAATTAAGAGAGAGACGTGGCTTATCAGAAAAGGAAATAAGTAGTCAAAGTCAAAGAAACACCATTCTAAGAACTTGCAATCTAGAATCTGAAAACAGAAATACAAATATATTTGGCTATTTTGGTGCATTTCCTTGCAGAATGTTATCTGTCTTAGAAACATCCATTTCTATGTGGTGGGATTTGGGTTGAATTTTTTTTATTTCTTTTTTGTGTCTTTTTGCATTTTCCAAACTTTCTAACGTGGAAACCAACTGCTTTGTCAATGGGAGAAAACAATACATGTTATTTTATCATTTGAACCTCAACCAGAAATAACTCTAATTAAAGTAGTCTTGCCCTCAATTAGTTCAAATTATATTAATCAGCTGGAATGTTTAGCTTCTAGTTAACAGCATTTCCTGATTAACTGGAGGTTAATTGGAAAACGTCACTTAATGAAAGTCTTTTCACAACGTGCTAGTCCACTTTCCAAGACTATAACTGGATATTGCTGTGAGCCTCAAGGCTCCTGTGACGTCTGAAATTTACATACTGAGCATAAGAATCACAAACCTGCTTCAAGACTGTGTCCTCTTTAAAGGGTCTCCTCAACCTCCACTCTGTCTCTCAAGACAACTCACTATGTGCTCTGTTGTCTGTTACTCCTGCTCAGGTATTTCACACAAATGAGTGAGTTTGACAAATCGACGTATACGGGACCTCTCAGCTATCGTAAGCTGTGTCTTCTAGGATTCAATTCAGTGCAACAATCACTTAAATTATTTTTCAGTAAATATATACTGAGTATTTACTATTCCCAAGCATTATTCTAGATATTTGGGATCACAACAGTGAATAAAATGGACAAAGATTGATTCTCTTGGGAAGCTTGTGTTCTGGCAAGGCAAACAAGAAATAAAATTAGACTTAAAAGTTATTTTATGATAACTTAATGTAATATGTTATGGTAAATAATGTACTGTGTTAGTGAAAAATACTGCTTGCTGAGTTACATACTACCCCATATCTTAGTGACATGAAACAACAATTGGGCATATTGATTGTGAGGGTCAGGAATGTGGACAGGGTACAACAGAAATCATCTGTGTCTGCTCCATGATGTCTAGAACCTGAAAACTGCAGTAGGGAGGCTTTAAGGTTGGGCTGAAATAACCTGAAAGCACCATCACTAACATGTCTCATGTAATGTCAGTCTCATGAAATTTCAATTTTAAGAAGTCTGACCCCTTTCCCTACACCAGGAATTATTCCAGATTCTAGGAACTGAGCAGATGAGATGACTGAGTCCTTGCCTACTGTAAATGTAGAGCTTTTTCTTAGAAATAGGCGCATAAACAGATCATTTCACTATCTTGACATATGTCACCATACAGGTGTGCCTGGAGTGTAACAAGAACCCTGTTGAGTGGGGTGCATGAAACCCAACCTGAGGATGCATAGTCTGTGGCATTCTGGAAGATGTCAAATTTAAACCAAAACCTGAGAAATGAGAATAACCAAATAAAAATAGAGTATTGTCGGCAGAAAGTCTGGAACAAGCTATTACATGGGGGCGGGGGGGGGGGTATAGGTTGAGTGTCAGGAAACAGAGGCAGCTTAGTACATTAGCATTGGGAAGGAACATGGAGGGAGATGAGGCTGAAATCATCTGTAGGGTCAGACATTGGGTCGGGGGGCAAGATGATATTTGTCAGCTCCAGAGTTTAGATTTTATTACAGGGGCCATGAGGAACCATTGAAAGGAACAGGGTTTTTAAAAATGTATTTGCATTTTAGATGTAACTATCTGGCATATATCAAAAAGGGAGGCCAAAGACAGGTAGGAGGCTGAGACAGTAATTCAAGAAATAGATTAAACTGCCTGGACCAGGAGACTGGGCCAAGAGCCCAGAAAGACCCACACACGTTCTCTCTCGTAGAACCATAAAATCAGCTCAGCTTCTTCTCTTTGGCACAAAAACCTGAGTCTCCAATATAGATTTTTAAATTCAATGACTTGATATATGAGTCAGCCTGAATTGAGAGTCAGAATGCCTGGATTCAGGTCCTGTCTCTTATTAAGTAGCCAAGTGACCTTGAGCTGGTCACTCCCTGCCTCTGGGCCTAAATTTCCATATTTATGCAATAAAGGCAAGGGGATTGGACCAATGAAATAAAGAGCTCTTCTGTCCATGATATTTTGGAAGTCTATGTAGAAACCAGTTTTCTAGGCCAGATGGATTGCCCAGTTCCACTGAACCCCCTCTGGGGCTATCACCTCCATAGTTATATCTCGAGTCCTAGCAACCATGATTGACCACATGTCTTGGGTTCCTAAGAACACAAGGAAGCCTAAGGCAAATTTGGTGTAGCTGCCATATGGATCTCACTCTTTGAGGTTCATAATACTGGCTACAAACCAGAATTGCCTGGAGAAGACCACCAATGCCCGCGCCATCCTTCAGTTAAACCAAAACAGCCAGAGGTGATTATAATGTGCCATTGAGATTGAAAGACTCTGGTCTAGAAAGATGCACAGAGTCCCCAGGATGTGTTTTGCTTGTTCCTGCATTGTCTGACCCACTCTGCTTGTCCCTAGTCACACCTGGTGCCCACGAAAGCAGGTGCTCAACCTTCAGAACTCCCTGCTGCTGGAACATAGCCACATTAAGGTCAAGGGGCTTCTCCATGCAGTCTTGGACTATAGAATCTTCCCTCCTCCCCCACTGACCTCCCCAGCCCAAATTCCCCCACTGTCTCCAGTTACAAAACAAAAACCCTAAGCCTGACAACAAGTGCTAACTGAAGTTGGCTGGAGAACTGAAGGGTATCAGGTTTGGGAAATATACAGGAAAACAGAAAGAGGTGACTATGGTGGAAGCAGAGGAGAGAAGCATGTTAGCCCCAGCCCAGTCCAGGCGGCCTGTCATTGTAATGAATGGAACAGGCCCAGTAGGGCGACCAGAAGGTATCTAGTTATTACAGCTCCATTAAGACTATTTAAGGCAACAAGGAACAGCTGTGAGGAATATGATGCCGCCTAATGAAGAGCAAACATTTGTTCATTTTCCAGCTCTGAGCAGAAATGCCATGTGCATGGCTTTTATAGAGAGAGGCTAGGGCTGCCATCTTTCTTTTAATCTTTTGTGGGTGGGGGTGGGCGGGGGTAGCCTCCTGATGGGTCATCGCCATGGGGATGGATGCATCAGGTCAGCCCCTTCTCTGCCGAGAGCCACCTGAGCAGAGGCAAAGCGACCTTCTCCTCTTTGAGTATCAGAGTCACAGATCATCCCTCTGTGGGTGATCCTTGAGAAGTTCTTGTTCAGCTCCTCAGTTTGCAAATGAGAAGGATTCTAGAGAGCGGCCTGGGAATCAGCGGCAGGTGCGCACATGATGTAAAGGAGTATAGTGGTTGTTCTCCAAGTCTAGGAACTCAGCAGGACCCTGGGACTCCACCTGCTCATTTCACTCCACCCCCTCTGGACTGAATAAAGGAGAAAATGGTCCATGTCAGGGGTGACCAAAAGTCATCAGTAACCCATGTGGTTTCAGACTTGCAGCTGTCCTAGCAGGAATGAGCTCATGTAGGAGAGACTATTCAGTCTTTTCCCTTTAGCTTATTTTTACTTTTCTATTTACATTCTTTTTTTTTTGTTTTGTTTTGTTTTTCTTTTTCTTTTTCTTTTTTTTTTTTTTTTTTTTTTTTTGTGTGGGACCCTCGCCGGTGGCCGGTGAATGAACCGGCACTGCAGAGGCTGCGGGAAGCCTCGCAGCCCAGGGCTCAACTGTTGCGCCACCGGGGGAGGCCCTCTATTTACATTCTTTTTAAAAAAATATTTGCTTATTTATGCATGTAAGAACTGAGGTACAAGCCAGAGGTGCGGGGGTGAGAGGATTCACCAGAGACAAAGCAGGGAACAGAATTGACTGAAACACTGCTGCGAGGAGCAGCGGGAGAGACAGGAGAGGTCTGCTGTACCATGTGGGTAGCTCCCTGGCCAGGGATTGAACTTGTGCTGCAGTGGCTACAGATTGCTTCAAAATGCTGTGTCTGAACCCCTTTTGTCACCAGGGAGGCCCATCTATTTCCCATTCTTTTTTGGAACCCAGCAAGCAATATGGGGACCTTCCCCAACCCAGTGGGCAGTTTTCAGGTGGTATCATGGAAAAATCCCTTGGCCGACAGTCAAAATTGGTTTAAATCTCCTCCTGACATGCTGGAGGCTCCTGGACAAACTCTGCTCTCTCTGGGATCCAGTTTCATTTTCTATGAAACATTCACATGCACAGACTCCTGAGGTCTGAGAGTGAGAGTGTGTGCTTCTACTTCATTTGACCAGAAACAGTTGGTGTACCTACTGTGTGCCTTGTACTGTTGAGGGCACTGCAGATAATTAGAAAGCTAAATAAAGCAAACAAGCACATTACTTAAAAAGAAGTGCATTTTCTTACCACACCAAATAATTGCATAACAGAACTCCAGGTAAAATGCTTCATAGGCACATCAGTAAGGGCAGTCCAGGGGGAGCTCAGGTTTTGTTGTTGTTTGTTTTTGCTTCTTGTCAGTTCCTGCTGCCAAGATCAATCAGAAGCTTCACCAAAGATGTAACACTGGGTAAAAGAAAAGTTGAAGACAACCAGGTAAAGGAAAAATCATGTGGACAAAGGGAAAGAGATCCACAGGTTCAGGGACTTGGAAACATGAAAGAGTTGAAACGTGCAAGCCAGATGTTGGAAGGGAAGCAAAGATGCCCACCTAGAAAAAGAGAAATAAAAATGAAATGAGTCTACCCCTTACACAGTCTTCCTGTAGAAAATAAGGTCATAATTATGGCCTTTGAGTTCAGGTTTAGAGGAGAGTGGCTGCACAGAGGCAGGTACCCAGAGGTTTACCATGTAAATGGAGATGATGTGTGGAGGGGTCCAGAATCTGTAGCCTGGCGTGGGTTCCAGGAACCCCCAGATCATGGTTCAGAGCTTCAAGGAACACCCTTGTGAGCTTCTCTGTTAAACTATAGACTTCTTTTTTTTTTTTTTTTTTTAAATATTAAATTTATTTTTATATCCCCCATACAATTGCAAACGCCCCATTCTGACCCCAATCCTTCCCCTCCCGCCCCCCACCCCCCAAAAAGTGTCTCTGGTTCATAGTTTTTTGTTGATTTTGATTTTCACTTTCTTATAGTTATTCATTTTCCTGGTCCCTTATTTAAGTTTTCTAGATTCCTGCTATGAGTGAGACCATCCGGTATTTTTCTTTTTCTTTTTGGCTTATTTCGCTGAGCATGAACCCTTCCAGTGCCATCCATGTTGCTGCAAATTGCATGTGTTTATCTTTTTTGAATGCTGAGTAATATTCCATGGTATATATGTACCACATCTTCTTGATCCAGTCATCTATTTTTGGGCATTTGGGTTGTTTCCAAAGCTTAGCTATTGTAAACAGTGCTGCTATAAACATAGGAGTGCAGGTGCTATTTGGAATGGATGTTTCTGTGTCCTTTGGGTAAATACCTAGGAGTGGAATTGCTGGATCATATGGAAGCTCTATGTTTAGTAGGTCCAGAAATCTCCACACAGCTCTCCATAGTGGTTGGACCAGTTTGCACTCCCACCAACAGTGCACAAGAGTTCCTTTTTCTCCACATCCTCGCCAACATTTGTTGTTGCTAGTTTTTTTAATATGTGCCATTCTCACTGGTGTGAGATGGTATCTCATGGTAGTTTTGATTTGCATTTCCCTGATTACAAGTGATGTTGAACATTTTTTCATATGTCTGTTGGCCATTTGCATTTCCTCTTCAGAGAAGTTTCTTTTTAGCTCTTCTGCCCATTTTTTGACTGGATTATTTTCTTTGTTGTTGCTGAGTCTCATCAGCTCTTTGCAGATTTTTGTGATCAGTCCTTTATCATTAGTGTTGGGTGCAAAAATGTTCTCCCAGTTGGTGGGGTTTCTCTTTGTTTTTGTTATTGTCTCTTTTGCTGTGCAAAAGCTCTTTAATTTGATGTAGTCCCAGCTGTTTATCTTTGCCTTCACTATCACTGCTTTGGGTGATGTGTCTGTAAAGATGTCTTTGATGTGCAAATCCCGTAGTGTTTCGCCTATATTTCCTTCTATGTATTTTATGGTTTCAGGTCTTATGTCTAGTTCTTTAATCCATTTTGAGTTGATTTTTGTGTATGGTGTGAGGTAGTGGTCAAGCTTCATTCTTTTGCATGTAGCGACCCAGTTTTCCCAGCACCATTTATTGAACAAACTTTCTTTGCTCCAATGCATAGTCTTCGCTCCTTTGTCAAAGATTAGTTGACCATAAATCTGTGGGTTTATTTCTGGATTTTCTATTCGATTCCATTGGTCTGTATGTCTGTTCTTGTTCCAATACCATGCAGTTTTGATGATTATGGCTTTGTAGTATATAAACTATAGACTTCTTGAATCTAGGTGCATGACTTAACCTCTCTCTCCCCTGAAGTATCTAGAAAATATACTATATATAAATACAACATATTGACTATCTTGTATTACAAAATGCAGGTGAAAAATTTTAAGTGATTGAGGATAACCCCAATCAAGGGAGGGGGAAGGGGTATTAAAAAAAAAGAACAGGATTTTCCAATGAAAGAAACCAACACAGACTCTCAGTCTCTTTAGATGCCCAAAGTATCTGCCTTTACATTTTAGGTTGAACGCTGCTCAAGAGTTTGCTTTCCAACCTACCTTGCTGCTTAAAACAATGGTTCTTAAACTGGAGGTGACTTAGCAAAGCATATGCAGACACAGGGGCACTGATGTGGGGTGAGTCCCAGGTCTCTGCATTTTATTAAATTCCCTATGAAATTTGTTAACATACCTAAGTTTGAGAACCACTGTCCTAAAAATGCTCATGTTAAGGAGACATGTGACAATGGGGCATTTCAAAGGGCATTTGTGACTCTACCCACACACACACACTCGACTATTTGGCCTTGGTCAAAGACTATTTGGCCTTGTCACAGACAAATATCCACTCCTCACCACAATCTGATTTTCTACTCAGCTTCTCCAGCAGAACTCATAAATTACTGTCTATTTAGTGATGTGGTGCGCAATAATATTTGCTCTCCTGATGCCACTCTGAGGAGACGTCATTCGTCATCCTCTCCTGCTTTCTCAGTTCACATTTATAATCCCTAAAGCATGTGTTCTTAAGCATGGAAGGAGATGTGTGTTGAAAGCTTGGCCTCCACCAGGGCTACCACTAATTCATACAGTACCTTAGAGTGAAGGAACAAAAGGTACTTCACTGTCACCTTCCAGAAACTATTCATAATATACCCAGAAACTGTCCTGTCTACCACAGGCACAGTGCGCCCTTGGATGTGATGCTTTTGTATGGTACACAACCTGCACAACTGTCCATGGCAGCCCTTGCCATCTGTCAGCTAGCCACAGACTTCAGTAAATGTGGGTGTTTATTAAATCTGTGGACCACAACTGAGACCAGACCTTAGGCTCCCAAGAGCTCATGAAACTGTCTCACACCCTAAATACATACAAGCATCTGTGGGACCAACTTACCCCAGTTTGCCCAGGATGGTCCCAGTTTTAAAACTGATATTCTGGCATTCAGACAAACCAGGATGGGTACTGCAGACAGCCCCCATATTTGCCCTTGTGACAATAAACTGGATGTTTCTGAGCAAAGTAGAATAGAGGGTGAACTCCAGGAATAAGCCAAGGAGACGCCATAGCATATCCTTGGGAAAGTGTGGGATGGTAGAGTCTTTGAACATCAACAATGCGCCAGGCATTGGGCTAGGTGCCTATGGGCATTAACTCAGATAATCACCAATCATCAAAAAACTCTGGGGTATATTATTTTTTCATTTTTAATTCACATACTAGAAAATTCATTTTGAGAGGGAGGTATACAATTCTGTGAATTTTCACAAATATGTAGAATCATGTAAATATCAGCACAATCAGGATACATTAAGAGTTTCATCAGCAAAATATTCCCCCACGCTACCTTGTAGTCGAATCCTTTCTTCACCTCTAACCTGAAGGGAGTATTATTGATTGAATTTTCAGAAAAGTTCATTGGGATTTGGAGTGGTAAAATGAATTACAGTAAAAATAAACACTCTAGTCTATCTGCCCGTTATAAAGCAGTGCCTTTTCTCTGCTTCATCAGCACAGTTAGTGGGCAACATGTATTTCTTGGCACGATAAATGGAGGAAAGACCCAGATAAAATACGCCTCCTTCCTGGAGACTCTGGACTCTTTCCTGCCCTGGGAGAGTGTAGTGGGCAGAGCCTGGGCAATCCGGTTGGGCTGCACCACCCTGGAGAAACCAGTCCCTCCTTGTGCACTGTAGCATCATCTGGAACCTGCCTGGTCAGCATTTCCTAGGCCTGGTTTGCTGCACCCCAGGGCATATCATATCCAATTATCTCTAGAGATATAGTCAAGCCACAGACAGTGAGGGGGTCACAGTATCTGACAGAATGTGCTGATAGTGGGTGAACAGGTAAAGGAAATAAACCAGGACACCTCAGCCTTGGATGGGCATTTTGGATGGGAAGTTTTGTGTTCTGAGATCTCACTATTTTGACCATTGCCCAAAAAGATGCACGGAAGAGTGTCTGAGGAAGGATGGCAAGCTTCAGAGAGGACCTTCTTATCCCAATAGATGCAAACCCGCAGGTAGAAAAAGGAACCAGCCAAGCAGGCATCAGAAACAAGTCTTAGTTGTAGCAGAGAATTAAAGCATTAGGTAGGGAAACTGAGGCAGGTGGCACAATCCTATGGATTCTCTTGTCTTGATGTTGACTCTGTCTCAGCCCCCGCCTCCCGTCTTAAAAATCACCCAAAGCATTTGTATTGAATCAGAATAAAATTCCCATTCTTGGCCATGATCTACAAGAGCTCAATGAGCCCCCCCTTCCTCATCCACACATGTGCCTTCTCTCTTGTTCTCTTGGCTCTGGGACCATGTCCTAGCACACACCAGGCTCTTTCCCCCCTAAGCTTGGGCCCTGGCTGTCCCCTTCACCTGGATCATCCTCCCGCCTGGCTATTGCCGTAGCTGACTTCTGCTCATCACTTGGTTTCCAGCTCACATGTGTCAGTGAGAGACCAGAAGGTCACCCTGCAGTACCAAGGGGGATTTAGGAACCTGCTGGGGTTGGAGGGAGCCCAGGAAAAGGATATTGGACTCAGCGGGCTGTGTTAGGTGACTTGGGCATTTCATCTGGATTGGACACTTTAAGGGAGTGGTAGGATGAGGTACCTTAATAAATCTTTATATGAGAAGAGAGCACTAGAGGCTAAAACGAGAGGCTAGTGCTGTAATTGGCAGCAGTTGCTCATTAACCAGGACAGGGGGATGTTTGACCACTTAATTCAACTGGCACAATGTCTGACGTGACCACAGAGTGGCCGTGTCATTGTCTTGCTCCATCCTGGTCTCAGAGTGACCTTGTCTGATGTTGGCTTCCTGTGAAGTTGTGTATGATCAACAGGGAAACACCAATGCCCAGCTGCGAGGGCCAGGCCATCTCCCAGAAGCCAGGGGCTGCTGTCTTCCTGCTCAGATGTCACCTTGGCCAAGAGTGCCACCTCATCCATCCTAGCTTAATTGGTCCCTTGTCCCCAGAGTCACTTTCCCTCCCAGCATCCTGGTTAATGTCTTTATAGCACTTGTTATGAGCAATAACAAGTTTGTGGTCTGCACCTTCCCACAACCAGGACATAAAGTTAATGAGACCTTGTCTGCCGTGTCCACTGCTGCTATTTCTAGGACCTGGACCGTCCCCTGCATGGGCCCTGTGCAAGGGTGGGAAGGAAGACAGACTCTTGCATGTTTTCTTCGTCAACCTTTCCTGTTTCTGGACCTCACTATGTGGATATGTAAAGTGAGGCCATAATATATTTTCTGAAAGATCCTTCCACATCGGACTTTGAAGGATTCTGTGTATGCAGTCACCCCTCCAGGATTACGGACATCCCCGAATGCATCTCCTAGGACTGAAAAAAAAAATGACTGTCTTAGAAAAGCAACACGGTTGAAGAGTAGGAATTGTTTCCACACTCAGGGAAAAGTGTAAAAATAGAGCTCAGCGCTCAAAGGAGAAGAGAAGGAGGAAAGGATAGCGGAGATGGATAATGGGTGAATATAATGAGGTGGCAATTTTGGTTTCAAAAGAATGTGATTAGCTCCTAATGACTGCCACCATTCCCTGGTCAATCTACTGTAACTAGCTACTAATGTAAAAATAATGCCCCTCAGCTGGCTCACTTTGAAGATGGAGATGTGTCTCCCTTTCATACTTTTACCCCCTTGTATATTTTTTTCCTTTAAGAGATTATCCCCTATTAGATGGCAGCTTCCTAAAAAGGGAAATGGATGTGTGATCAAAGTCTGTCAATTAGAGGGTCATTACCACTCATTCCTGGGTGACTATTAGGCCTGACCTCCTCTGCCTTTGTCAACATCCACACAGGCCCCCCCAAGCCCGCACATTCTCCTTCAACCCCCACCAGGGCGGGTGACAGGGGCTCCCAAGGCTGTGGCAGAGACCTGCATGGTTTCCCGAGGGAGAATCACAGCTGTATTTAGGATTATTCCAAGGCTATCATATGCTGGAGGTTTCCTGAAGGGCATGGCCTGGATGTTGGGAGAACTCCCAAATTTTGCCATTTAAGGACTTGGGGGTGGACAGGAAATTTATCAAATCTCTGCAATGTCACGGTACAGAGGGTGCATGCTTATTCTGTGATACCCCGTGGAGCCAGGAAAAGGCAAAGTACTTGGAGACAGCAAACAGAAAGCACCATCCAGTGACTCTGTTCTGGCAGGGAGGCAGAGAGCTCTGTGGGGCAGTGAGCTTTCCATTCCTGAGGGCTCTAAATTATAAGTGCAGGGGGTCCTGTTATTAGCTGCCTGGCAGGCCGTTGTGGAAGGGAACACAATTTGTTGGCTTTCAAGGTCACTGGCACCTCTGAGATTCCGGGACCTTTGCCTTCTGCATTCACAGGAGTCACCTCACCCGCTGGTTTTTTTCCCATCCATCCTTCACCCATTGATTCAAAAGCAGTGATTCAAGCACCTATGAGATACAAAGCTAGTACCAGTTCTGGAGATACCAGTGTGCATAAGATGCTGCCCTTTCTCTGGAGTAGCCTGTCACCAAGTTGGGAGACAAGACATTCAAGTTACCAGATGTAGAGAAGTCGTCTCATAATAGACGTGACTGTATCTAGATGCAGTGGGTGGCAGGGGGGTGAGCGGGGAAAGTTTCACCAAAGACAAGATGCTCGAATTAGGGTTTTGAAGGATAGGTAGGAGTTTACCAGACAGGCTGGTGGAAGAGAACTTCAGGCAGAGGGAAGAGCATGTATAAACAGTCTCAGAAGTTTGAAACCCCTCAAACTGGCTGTGGCATTGCATTTAGTTCCTTACTCTTGGAATACTGATATAAGGGCGAGACATGAGCGCGGGGGACATGTGGGGTGAAGTCATTAAGGACCATGTATTAAAGAGTTTGGAATTTATCCTGAAGCCATGGCATGGGGAGTAACTGGGTCCTGTTCACATTTTAGAAAGATCTCTCTGATTACAGTGGAGAATGGATTGGAGGGGACAAAACCAAAGCAAGAGAAACCAGTGAGGAGACTCGTGGGAAAGTGTTTCTCCAGGTAAATTCACTATTTGCAAGAATCATGGTGGCACATTAGCTTCACCTGGAGAGTTATGAACGCTGCTGACGCCTGTGTCCCATCCCCAGAGAGTCAGAATGAGCTAGTCTGGGACAGGGCTGCCGCTCAGGGAGTTGGAGAGCTTCCCCAGGTGGTTCTAACGTGTAGCTATAATGAAACCTTCAGCTCACTGTGACCTGAACCCTGGCACACAGTAGGCACTCAACAGATTTTTCTTTTTGAGAAGTTAGTGTGGAAATGTCTGGGGTCTGCTGCTCTTGACTTCATCCCACTTTCACGATGTATGTTTGAATGAACAGTTGGGTTTTGGCAGAGTGTTTCGGGTAGACAGTCCACCCCTAGGAATCAGCTTAAACTTTGAGAAGACCAATGTCACCACTGAGACCAGCCCACCCAGCTGGGCAGAGAACCAGGAATACATCAACTCAGCAAGTTGCCTGGCAGTGCCTGGGTGGGGTGAAAGGATGAGGCAGGGGCTGGAATCTGAGTTACAAGCAAAAGCAAGAATGATTTGCAATCTAGAGCTGGCTGACCCTGAGGGCCAGAAGGATGGAGGGTGGTCATGATTTTATACTGAGGAGTAAAAAGAAGGAGAAAGGAGTAGAAGAGTAGGAGCAGGAGAAGATGAAGAGTAGGGGAAAGTCCTCCATTTGTGAACTAGCACTCTTCTAGCTCCATGGCTCTTTGGCCCCACTCAGATTTGGGGCAGAGATTGATGCCAGGAATCTAGCACCTGTTTTGCTTCCCCTTCAGGGTGCCTGTCTAAGGAGCTCTGACACACATCGAGCAAACCTCTGATGAATTAATAATTGGAAAGTCACCCTAGCTCCCCAATCTAAAACCCTGGGAGAAACTGTTGGAGAACAGTTTCTAGACCACCCCTCATCCCTGTTCAGTACGGAATGACTAGCAGACAGGACACCAGTTATAGCTACCCAGCGGCTGCAGAGATGAGGACCACGGTCATACTTCTAGAATAAAGGTCGGCAAACTACAGCCACAGGCTAAATGCAGCCTGACACCTGTTTTTGTAAAATAAATTACTGTTGGGACACAACCATTTGCATTTGTCTGCGTTTTGTCAGTGACTGCTTGCACACCGCAACAGTGGATGTGAGTATAAGTAGTTGCCACGGAGATTAGATGGCCTACAAAGCCCAAATTGCTTACTTTCTGACCCAGTACAGAAACAGTTTGCCAACCCTTACTCTAGAAGACCCATCTAGGTTCAAGGGAAGCAAAGAAAGGGGGTGTCTTGCAAGAGCTGGAGAGTGGGCCTGCCCACCTACACGGCCTGCTGCGCAGCCAAATGCCTGACCGATCAGGGTCACCCCATGGAAACCTCACTTAGCATAGACCTCATCAGGAATAGCTGGGCCCAGGCAAGGCTGGTGCATTAAGATGAGTGGGAGCTGCCCTCCCCTGTGCCGCCGCCTGGGAGCTGAAGATGGTGTAGCGCCGGTCCCAGAAACGGTGCAAGGCCGTGAGATTTGCCTTCAGGCTTATTCTGCCAGAGGCAGGGTGGCCTCACCGTCCTACTTCTGTGTCTTCCCTCCAGCTGGCACTGCTCCCTCAAATGACCACCTTGCTTCACCCTGAGATCATGAATGCACTACCGTGTTTCCAGCGTGCTTCCACGACACGCGGCCATTTACTTGTCTGTCTCCTCTTACCCGGCTCTCATCTCTTCTCTCCCCGCTCACGCTGACGCTGACCAGATAGCCAAGCGTCACCGCAAACAAGGCTGCTGCTGTTGCGGCTGCTGCTCTTGTTTTGAGCATGTTAAGATGCACACGTGCCCGGCAAGGGCGGGGCTCTGATCTGTGCACTTGAGGGACCCAGAACACAGCACTTAATTTCTGCCTCCCCAGCTCTGTTTCTCCCCCTTATGCTTCTCTATCTCAGTTGCTGACACGACTCTCCTCCACTCTGCTCTTTGGGTCTTTACCTCTCCTTGCATCACAGTCCACATCTCCATCCCGGGTGCCCGGCCCACATCCCCTCTGTGCTCCCTGGTCCCACTCCTGCCCACCCAGTGTCTCCCTGGAAGCACCAGCGGCTGTTTCTGAGAACATCCTCAGGCCCCAAGAATATGTACACCCTGCCTAGAGAGCAGGGCTGACTGTCTGCAGCCAGTGACACACGGCAATTGGTAGACAAAGCCCCAACCGCCCTCTCCCTCTGGTGGGACAACCCTGGGGCAGAGACGGGCCTTGAGGTTAAGCTCCGGTGCACACAGTGGGCTTGCTCCTGGGTGTGCCTGTATCCACCTCCTTCCCTTGATTGTCTGGTTTCCCCCCGAACCCCCCCTTAGGATTGCCCCTCAGGATTGCCTCCCAAATAAACTACTCCCACTCAGATCCTTGTTTCTGCGTCTGCTTCTGGGGAATCACGCCAACATTCGTCTGAACATCCTGGAAATCATCTCTCCTCTCTCATGCTACAACGGGGGAAGGCACCACCCCTCTTGCTTGGACTGTTGCAGCATCTCCCTAACTGCCCTCACTGCTTCCTCCCCAGGCCTCCTAGGGCCTGTGTCCATCCAGAACACAGAATCGCTTGGTGGGACATGGATCAGGCAGCTCCCCATTCAACATGGCGTGTACACCATGTGACCACGTGCCTCGTACCACAAGCACAATCACAGCCTTTCCAGATGCTCCTGTCACAAGTCTCCCCGCGTCATCCTTGAACATGGTCCTCTGGTTGCCATCTTTGCACACACATGCTGTTCTCTCTGTGCAGAAAGTACCTTCCTACTTCTCTCGGCGTGACTGGTCTCTTTACATCCTTAAGAGAAGCTTACATGTTAGCCTCTCAGAGAAGCCCTCCCCATGGCGACAAATTGAAAAGAATTCTCACTCCCCATCAGTGTCCTTTTACCCTGCTCTGTTTTCTTCATAGCCTTTGCCACTGTTTAAAACTACATTCATTTTCTTGTTCCTATGCTTTCTCTCTCAGTAAACTGGAAGCTCAGGCAGGACATTATTCTCTGTGTCCTGAGTACCTAGAACAATGTCAAACATGTACTTGGGACTCAATAAATATCTATATTAAATGAATGAATGAACAAATGACTCCCCTACTAGATCAGATCATGACATATTGTTGACTTCAAGGACCTTTGAGCCAATAAACAAGTGACTAATTCCATGGAGGGGCCAAGTCTATTGTCCCCCAAGCCCCTCTCATGAACACACAGGGCTTTACATTTCATGACCCAGCTGGCTCATTTCACATGATGGAAGCTTCCATCACAGGCCATTCTAACCACTCTGTCCTTTCTTTTCAGGCCTTGCCAGAGGGGCAGACAGCTTCCTGGGACACAGCCAAAGAAGATGAAAACCGCAATAAGAATCGATATGGGAACATCATATCCTGTAGGTGCCCTTCTGGGAGAGCTCCAGGTTTGGGGGACCAAAGGGGAAAAGAAACTATTACTGATATTTTTCTATAATTCATTAGCAAACAATCCTTGATGTTTCCCACTTTGGGCTCAGAGGCCAAGTTGGGAACTTGGTTTTGGCCTCCTTGTCATGCCTGGTTCTAGATAGCAGGGTTGACTGTCTGAGCCTACAGGGCAGGCAGAGAACTGGGTCCAGGCAGAGCAGGCCTAGGAAGCCTCTGGAGGCTGGTGTTACCAGGCATTGCCTGCTCAAGATCCCTCAAGTGAGGGAGCTAGTGCAGCCCAAAGGTTTCTCTGTGAAAAGACCCACAACTGAGCAGGTAGATGGAAACCCTGTGTCCAGCATCTCTCCTATGAAAGCACTGCCTTGGCAGCAACTTGGGTGGGCAGGAAGCCCAACCCCTGAGGATGGGCCTGAGAACACCAAGGCAAGAGAGGCAGAGTTCCAAGCAGGGACTGAGGCTCAGAAGGAGCTAGAAACTCTAGCCTATGCCCATGGGTTTGGGGAGTGGCCAGCTCCAGGTTCAAAGGAGCCCAAAGCTGCTCTGGTCATAGGAGACCATTTTTGTAGTCTGGCATCACAGCTTCTGCCAGATTTTACTAGTAGTGGGGCAAGGGCTTAAAGCTGAGGGCCTACCTCTGGGGCATATAGTGACCCAGGTGTTTGGTGGTTGTGAGCCTACAGGATGCGAGTATGTTCATGTGCAAAGCTGGGAAATGTGGAGGAAGGGGCCCTTGCTCACCAGTGAGCTGCAGCACTCCTGGAGCACCCTGGAATGATCTGATGAAGGCAGTGGAGCAGAGTAGTTAGAGCTCTCCAGAGTCAGACTGTCTGGGTTTCCAGCCCAGCTGTGGAGCTCGGGCAAGTTAGCTGACCTCTCAAAGCTTCGTTTTCCTCACTTATAAAATGATGAAAAAAAAGAAGGCTGGGGCCATTGAGAAAGGGGACATGAGATGCTCGGCTTGGTACCTGGTGCCAGACAGTTGCTTTCTAGGGTCACTGATGAGAGTGTGACTATATCATGGCACCTTATTTTAACCAGAATTTACAGGTTGGTTTGGTTGGAAGGTGGGGGAAGGACCCTGATCAGAGATGTCCATTTGGAAAGATCACAAGAATAGCTTGTGATTGGGAGGGTGGATTCGATTGGGAGAGGTTGGAGGGAGGCAGAGGAGTTGATCAGGAGCCTGCTGCAACAGTCCCAGCAAGGGCTGATGAAGCCTGAAATTGGCAGTATCAGTACTTGTGTGTGACTCATAAAAGAATTGATTTCTGGGAGGAGATGGAGACAGAGGCTCTGCAGAACAGAATACCCTGCACAGGTAGCACCCAGTAATTGTTGATGCCAAATATTGGCGTGTTCAGCCTTCAAAGCATCATGATACAGAGAGGACAAATTGGCCTTGTAGAGAATGCTGAGCACGAATTTTGATTATGACAGGAGTCTACAGCAGAGTTTGTCCCCCACAGTGTAGCCAACCTGGACTTTTTGACATCTCACCAATTGAGTGCATAGAATTCCTTGGTCTCGGCTCTCAGGGTAACCCAGTTAAGCCAAAAAAAAAAAAAATCCTGAATAACCAATTATTTCTAGCACAGTTCGGTGTTTTTGTTTTGTTTTCTTTAACTGTCTAGACATTGCCTAAGTAGGACTCAGAGGAAGAAGGCATAAGATACAGGAAGCTTGTAAAAGGAAGAAAGAGGCAGAAGTTTTAGATTAGTTGTTTCCTGTGCTGATTTAGAAATGGACTATGAATGGTAGAATTAATCAGGAAACACATAATTTGTCTCCTGGAAGATGGTAATACAGACAGCCAGATTTCTTGCAGGGAACGTGTTGGAAAGAAAAGCTCAACTTTCAGGAAATATGTATGAAAACCTGTGATGTGTGGGCTTCCTCTGAGGCAGGCCCTTTGCAAGGTGCTGGGAAACTCAGTCCCTGGTTTCAGGGGACCCCCATTCCAGACACAGGTAGCTGCTCCCTCTGACATCCACCAGTTTGAGCATTGTTTGAACTGCACCCTAAAACATCCAGTCATTCATCTTCTTCCTGCTAGGTGGTGAGTTCAGATGGAGTCCAACGAATTATAGGCTAGAAGACCTTAACTGATCATTCTAAGCCTTAGGCAAAATGGGTCCAACTGGGATGTCTCCCTCCTAGTGTGTTATTCAGATAAAAAATAAAAGACTAGAGCTCAGTGAAAAGACCCTGTCTTCCTAAGAGACTAGAATGTCCAGGTTGTACCAAATATCCAGCCCAAACCTTTGGGTGCCATGGGGGAGAAATCTCCCAGTGCATATGCGCTGCATGCAGCACCCCTACCCAAGCCATCATCAGCTCTCACCTGGACTCTGTCCTTCCTCCTTCCTGGTTACTCCACACCTATCTGGCCCCCAGCTTTCTATCTATCTGTTCTCTGACAGAAGCCAGAGGGACCAACCCCAAACACGACTTGGAACAATCAGTCTTCCTACTCAAAACCCTTCAAATGGCCGCCCTTTGCCTTATGCAAATACCCTTTGAGTCCCTGCAGTCTCGGTTCACACGGTGTCCTCTCCATCACTGTCTCCACAATGAAGCCACACTGACTTTCACGCTATCTCTTGAGCTTGTCCATGCTTATCCATGCCATCGTGTGTTTGCACACACTATCAAAGTGTTCTTCCTGCCTCTTCTTGTGCTATGAAGTTCTACTTATTCTTCAGATCTTAGTTCAGTCATCACTTCCTCAGAGAGTTTCTCTGAGCCTTAGAATTTTATCAAAACACCATTATTCACTCTTAGAGCACAGGCTATAGCTTCCTAGCCTTCATAGTCATTGCAACTTGAGAGACACTAGTAACTGCCTCTCTCCCTCACTAGAAACGATGCTCTGTGGCCACAGGATCATGACCACTTGCTCTTCTGTTCCCCCAAACTCAGCATATGCTTGATGCAGTAAACAAAAACTGAGTGCTTTCTCAACAGTCAGAAAGCACTGACTTTCTGCAAAGCCACCAAAACTTAGTCATGGATCTCTTATCTTCTGGCTTCCCATATGAAAGAGAAAGCATTGGAAAGGTTGGATGATGGGAGATTGGGTTAAGCTGACACTTGGAACTATGATAGTCCAGCAAGGAAGAAGATACTGGAACTAATCCTGATTGAAGAGAATGGAAATTGGGGACATGGGGGTGAACAGAAGAGATTACTCCTCTCCCCTGCGAGAGCTGCATTGGAGGAGGCAGATTCTCAGCAATGAAGGGGACTTCACTGCTGGGGTGCAGAAGATGTTGTCATCATCCACCTGCACCCCACAGCCTCACCACCTCATTGTGCTGTAACACCAGCTGGCAGTGTGGGCAGCCAAGGCCAGATGTAGGGTGCCACACTGAAGGAGGCCTTTGCTCTTGGCTGTTGACCCTGCATTTGTGCAACCCCGAATGGGATACCTCCTTACAGTGTGAGCTTTATGCCTTTTCCAGAGTCCCTGTGGGGTGTAAAGGCTTGGGATGTCACCATATATGGGCTGCCTCCCCCCTCCCTCCCACCTATATCCCCTCTCCCCCTGTCTATACTGATGGTGCTGGGATCCTCATCTTGCATCTCATTCTGGAAGAACCCAAATGAAGCAGAAGAAAGTCCAGCACCCAGTGACACCTAGATGGGTTCAGCCTGCATCTCCTTTTAACTTAAGGATCAATAATTCGGCAACCAGTCCGAGCTGGGGAGGGTCAGCGCTCTGTGCTGAGAGCAAGGTGTGCACGGGAAGCAGTGGACCCGGAAGGCAGTGCAGGACATGAAGGATAACCAAGAGACAAAAGTCCAGGAATTGAAATGAGAAAGGCAAAAGAGAAGCAGCCCCGAGGAGCGGAAGGTGTTCCTGCCCTTGTATGTGTCCCTCCCAAAGGCAAAGTCTGCCTCGGCTGATAAATAGAAATATTCCTGGCACAAGAAGGAAACCGGGTGTGATTAGCATCTTAAGGAACCCGAGCACCGGGAGGCTGGCGTGGAGGACAAAGGCCCAGGCCAGGGAGAACAGAAAAGATGAAAGGGGATGAGTAGGAGGGAGGGCACTGCCTGCAAATGAAACAATGAAAGAGAAACCCTGGCTAAATAAGCCCTTTCTTCCAAATGATTCCATTTAGGGTTTAGTAATAGAGACCATGGGGTTTCCAGGGACTGGAAATGGAGAGGAAGGAAGAGGGAAGGAAATGAATGGAGGAAATAGAACAAAGAGTCCTTTGCTTTCAGGTACCTCTGGGGCAGAGACTATTCACAAAGGGAAATTTCGAGAATATTATGAACGTTTTCCCCACGTGGACATTCGAGAGGGCCCTTCCTGGGCGGGCAGGAGGAAACCACACAGAGGAGAGGCAGTGAGGCCTGGCCGTGCGGATTTTGCAAAATGAGACTCCCCGCCTGGGATCAGCCAGGGCCCCAGCAGGAAACAGATGGGAACCTCGTGTAGGTTGAAAAGAATTTAATGAAGGGCCGACTTGTAAAGGTGTGAGCTCGGTGGAGGGAGAGCACAGGGAATAGCGCGAGACCAGGACTAAATGTCCCAGGGAGAATGGGCAAGAGAGAGGCGGCCTGAACACGTGGCCCAGGGAGTGCCCTTCAGGGGGTGCGCCAGCCCAGGGTGACCCCAAGAATGGGAGCTGAAGGCTAAGTACCTCCATCGCATGCTCCTCCCCTTGTCCAGCCTTCCGAGCCCAGCCAGCAGTCCTGGAAGCAGGGACCCCACGGGGGCAGCAGCATCACCTGGCAAATGTGTTAGAAATCTGCATCTTCGCATCCACCCCTGGCCTACCAAGTCAGGCATCCTGGCAGTGGAGCCCGCAATCTGTGTTTTCAAAAGCCCCCCCAGGTGGTCCTGATGGCATGTGTAATGTGAAGCCCCCTCCGATATGGTGATCTTGTCCACAGAGGCCAGCCCCTGGCTTAGGGAGCCGGGTGCGGAGGGCTGGAGAGTGACCTGAAGCGCAAACTC